AAATTCTCTTTCAGTTTTGTTCATTATATCTCAAATCAATCGACTGCAGTGTTGTTGCCATGCTGATCCATTGTTACTCATCTGAATAATATTCGATGCACCATAACTGCGATCTCTCGTAATTTTGAGCACCGTCTCATTTCCGAGAACAACAACAAATGTAATTCCTTGAGCTGCTTTGTGTGTGTAATTGTAAGTAATAAGCTGATTGCTCACATCTTAAAAAGTAACTTCTACCTTCTCTTAAATGGATATTCTGTTGCATGGCATTGATTTTAACATGCGTTGAGTGACTGTTATTATCATTATCGTTGTTATTATATAGAGAAGCCTATGAGTTTTACAAAAATGATCAGCGTCTATGTTATTGAGTAGCGAAATGAGTGTCGTCAGAGTTCACGTCGATATTCGATGTTGCATTTTTAAAGTGACGTACGTGTTAGATTGCTGATTTAGTTGTGATGCGTTCATGATTTGAAGGTGGCGCATTGTTTTGTGTCCGTTTTTGTGAATGTTTCATTTGCGAATTTGTCGGTTCTTCAGAATTTATCTCATTCCTTGTTAAAATCGTTTTGTGTCGTGTATTGATTGATCAAACGTGTTCCAATAATGTTCTTTGTGTTTATGTTGCTGTTTTATCGTTGATTCTGATTGAAAAGTTGAACAAGTTATTCATTCATTAGTTAATGTTGTTCAGTTTTTAAATGTTTGCTTTCCCGAAAGGTCAATGTTCAACAGCTGAATTATGCTATTCAATGAAATAAATTCATGGTTTTTATATCTGCAATGGTTTCGTTCACTCAGCTCATCTTATTTCAACATGCAGAATGATGATAATCTCGTGTCAGTTGAAAAAATTGATGAATGGTTTCATTTTTATATTGACTGATGTTTTATTTGTTTGCATTTTGAATCAGTTTACTTTGTTCCGAAGCGAACTTCTCTCAGTTCGAGTTTGAAAGGCATATGACATAAAGTTACAAACATTCTCTTGGTGAATCGCAGTTCTTTTGCCTGCATCAGAGAGTGAACAAATTTGGATAATCCAACAGAATAAGGCGCTCACAGTCAACTTTAAAATTTGAATTTAAAAGAAAAAAATTAGAATATAAATGCATTCAATGGCTCGAGAAACAACGGAAATTGTCTTTGTCCATTGTGAAGTCGTTATCGCGCGGTCATTTGTTCAGTTCGCTTAACGGTTCGACTTGAGACCGCATCGGAGAAACAGTTTTATGATTGTACGATTTGCTTTTGACTTTTGCATTTCTGAGAGAATACTTCAAGTGCTTTAATTCGGGCATTTCTGTGGATTCGTTTCACTTGAAACTGGTTGCAATGGTTCAGGTACGGTTTAAGGAACATATCTCATTGTGAGAGAACGAGTTATGCGATGATGTGTCGTACCTCCACAAGCAATCGCATTGCCATTAATTCGGGAATATCGTCCCAGCGTTATTATCGTTAGCTGCGCGGAAGGAAGAACACCAAGGAAGGATATTAGTGATAGCAGAGAGGCATAAACTCGTGATGAGTTGCATTTGCTTACAAGTAATAACTAGTAGTGAAAATAATAATAACAATAATAATAATAATAAACAGTAATTACGAAAACAATAATAATTAGTGCTACAGTTTACGTCACTACAATTAGATAAAGAGTAACAATGAGTGATTGAGGAAATAGCTTGTCGTACATATTCGTCAGTTGTTTTGTATGACAGCTTTTCGCACTCACTACAGTGGTAATGAACAATAGACGAAACGAAGCAGCTGAGCATGCTATCGTGAAATTTGAATGGTCTGTTCTGATTGGAGCTGCTTGCATAGAACTCGAATGGAAACACGCAGCATTTTAATGCGTTCTTGTGCTGTTCGAAGATATACCTACTATAAACGTATACATGTAACTTCTATAGTGAGCAGGCATTGAAAAGAAATCAATTGGGAGCGTTATGCAGCCTGAAGAGAGTTGATTTGAATGAATTGATAATGATTCAGAAAGAAGACAAGCAGAAAATGTCACCGAAACAGAAAAAGTCATCGCGAAGGAAGAGCAGAGATTCAGGTGAAAGCATTGATAAGACTCAAGATCGTTTCACGATGTCCACCGAATCGTCAAGTATTCAACGTCCAGTTCCGAGATCTGCCCGTCAAAAACACTCTTCAAAAGCGATCGACCGTCGGCAACGAAAGCGCTCCAAACGAAAACGTCACAAATCGGCTAGCCCCTCAACGCACTCTACCTCATCAACTAAAGTCATCACACCACATTCTCCAAAGACTCGGTTGGACAATTCATTACAGCGACGAGAACCTTTTGAGGCTCCGATAGAAACATAAATAA